CTTTAATTTTTGAAGTCATGTCTGTGTAACAGTGCAAAATAATGGTATCACTATGATAGAAATATCCATAACTGAACAAAAAAATAAAAGACACTTCACAAGCAGTTTGATACTCCTTTTATCTTGACTTAATAAAAATTATTGTAAATAATGATTATGTACAAAATTAGCCATCAAATGGGGCAAGTTAACAACTTTAAACAAATTAACCAAAACTCAACTACATCTGTTGGCAAAGAAAGAGCAAAAATGATAAAAACAAAATATACGTAGTTAATTTCTTATGATTCAATTCCCATCAAAGCATGTTTACTTTGCAAGTTCTTTATCAGATTAATGGAAGTTAGAGACCAAATGGAACCCGCAGAAGGCTCACCTTATCTATTTAATGACAAATAGTATTATCCAAGTAGCAATCACAAGAGAACACATTTATTCTCTTCTTAAATTCTCTTGGGGCTTTGTCACTTAGATAACGTCCAGCTTTGGTTCCCAGGGAAGATAATGTAGGCTGCACATAAGCAAGCCTACAGTTTATCATGAGAAATATTGTTTTGTTGTAAATGCCCAGTTACACAGTGGAATCATTCATGCAATCTGTCTCTATATAACAATCAGATGATTTTTATTACTCTGCAACAAATAAACATTTGCTTGGCAATGGGAAAGATATTCAACAGGCAATATTGTTAGTGAAATGCGTCATGGTGTAATCAGTAATGATGTGGCAACAATCAATGTAAAACATTTTTTTTCCCTTCATTTTCAGGGTTGGAGAGTTGAGAGGGAGAAAAAGTGATACAGTTGAACCCCGCTGTTTTGAACACGCGGGGGTAATGAAAATTAGTTCAAAATAGCAGAAGTTCAAAATGACTGATAGTAAAAGACTAAAGGGCAAATCCAAGGGAAATGTTTTTGAGTTCACTATAACAGGGAATTTGAAATAACCAACTTGGAATTAGCGTGGTTCAACTGTAGTCAGGTTAACTCTAGAATCCTTTACGTTTACCCTTACCCTAACCTTAGCCCTGAATAAAATTACAGTAGCACTGATTCTTAATACAGGTGTTACCAGCCTTACTAATGTTTAGTGCAGCTTGTTTCACAACAACTTGCATGAAAGATTGGTCCATATAACAGGGCTTACAAATGAAACATGCTGATCTTCAGTTGTAAAAAGTTACAACAACTTGCATGAAAGATTAGTCTGTGTAACAGGGCTGACAAATGGAACATGCAGATCTTCATTTGTAAAATATTACTCTTACAAGCAAACATGCAAAAATGGGACATCAAAAAATTAATTATTTATAATAACTGATGCTTATTTACAATGAATTATGATAATACATGTAGCAAATGAAAGAGACTGAAGCCATTAATAATATTGCAGCACAATACAACAGTCGTATTGAGTAAGTCAAATGAAAAGTTGATCTGTTACAGCAACCAGCAGATACAGGTACATCCACTTGTGATCTTCATCAGGAACTGTTCTCTTCATTACAGATTCAACAATCACATGCATCGTCTTCCTTCATGGGATTTCATTAGTGCATAAAAATAATATATCTCCCCCTCTGATGTGTTTATTTTACTTTTTTCTTGAATAATAGTATATGTGGTTCTGAAAACAAACCATAATTGAAGAGGTTAGTTATCCTGGTGCAAGCATTCAGTTACTGCAGTTAGGAAGCTGCACAAAATGGTGAGAACAAAAACAGGGGAGGGGTTAAGGACAAGCGCACTCCTCTAGTTTTCTCATTCTTTTTGGTGCAGCTCATCAGCAGACTAAATTTTATTAGTCAGGGCATCTGTTGGGTTCTATTTATTAACATGAGTATCCATACCCTATTGAGATCTATTGAGGTCTTGGGAGGTGACTTTCAGAACTATGTCAAAAATCATAAAATGGATTTCTGCTTGCCCAAAAGAGCAAGAGCTAACCTTCATCCCTGAAGATTTGTACAGGGGAGTAATAGTAAGATGTCTAGAAATCGACATCGGCATATTTGATATAACTGGCTATCTTCTTTACCTGGATCCCAACGCATATAATGTTCCCAGCCTTGAGATTGTTGGACGCCTAAACCCCGCCACTCTTGCTCACTCATCAGTCGTTTGGGAACTTTTTTAGCGATGTCCTTTGGTAAAATGACATGCCTTGTATGTGTGTAAAAGGAAGAATTATTCATCTTGTTAGAGAAAAACTGCAATAAACTGAGAAGATCGTCGCTTTGTAGCACCTCGTGCTTGCAAAGCAAGCCGAGTGTAAATGGGAAAATTACAAAATTAAACACCCAATGCTGTTTTTATGATTCACACATAATCACTTTAAGTCCTTAAACCTCTCCTATTCATTTAACCTCTGCTACCAGCAGCTCGATAGAGGAAATAAAACTCATGACCCAAGATTCCATTCAGTTATTTCATCAAGTATTTACAAACAAATTTAAAGCTCTCACCTGTATTCGAATTCACCGGTATCGTCGGAGTATCTTGTGGAATAGTAGATATCTCTTACCGACATTTTGGGTGGAATTCTTTGGTATAAAATACAAGAAAGCGAAGAACAAACAGTGTGCAGGAAGGAGACAAGTCGGAATAACGTAAGCCTCGTGACAACGGTCGAAATGAATTGAAAAATTACGAACTGTGCCCTTTGTGCTCTGATTGGTCGAAAGTGAAATCTCCCGAAATCCAATTGGCTAAAAGATTTCAAGTTCCAGTCCCTTATCAACCTCGTTCCCACGCAAAGCAACGCCTGACTGCAAAGTTGTAAAGTAGAGGCCGGCGACCACAAAGAATTTAGGTTTTTATATCAGACAGAATTCTGAGAGAAGCAAGTTAATTCGAGGAAGGAAAGAACATTCTGTTTGTTCCCTTGTTTTTGCGAAAAAAAGTTTCTAGCTGTCGGGTTTGTTCTGGTATGGACTAAAGGTTTAATAATACAGTGCAACAAGCGAGCGTATTTACACAGTCCAAACAATAGCTTCATTATTCAATTTCTCCGAGTTTTATTAAAGGCCAGTTTTCAAGTGTAACGTGAATCGTACTGAAGGAGCTACTTTTGATATTGGGTAGTACCCTAGGGGTAATACTTATAAATTTTAGAAACGTAGGGTGCGTTTCTTAAAGAAAATCCAAGATTGGATTCTTAAATCCGAAAGAATCCGAAAACGGATTTTGCGTTTCTTTAGTAAACTGTGGATTCTTCGGTTCCTTTGACGCACCATGATCCCAGAGATCTTGGATTGATCTATTCAGTAAAGAAAAGCAAAATCCGTTTTCGGATTCTTTCGGATTTAATGTGGCTTACTACAGTTTTGATGGACTATAAGAGACCAACTTCTAACTCTTTTCAAACATAGGCACGCAAGGCGTGCAAGAGTCTTTTTATTGTGTGTGAAGTCTCGGAGATAGGAGCATTCACGGAGCTGTTTACAGTAATGATTTGGTTAGTTTGACAAGTATTTTTTGGTTGCGATGTACAGCAAGAAATGTACATACGATGTTACATCGGTAATGGTACGATAGCTAAATAGTAAGCCATAAAATGTTTGACTGAACAAACTACACTAATCTGACACGTCTCCAGATTAATGTAGATACCATCTTAT